CCTGAAAAGCCCATCGACCCGCTTCTGCAGGGTTTCACGAAAAAAAAATGTTTCCTAAATTGCAGAGTGTATCGCGCACCGTACCCGACAGACTTCTTTCTTTTTAGCTGGGGTGTAAGACTGTTTGTAACAACATTTTGAAAACTGATTATAATAGCTCTTGTTGTGTACTTCAAACCCTGAAAAGCCCATCGACCCGCTTCTGCAGGTTTTCACGAAAAAAAAATTTTCCTAAATTGCAGAGTGTATCGCGCACCGTACCCGACAGACTTCTTTCTTTTTAGCTGGGGTGTAAGACTGTTTGTAACAACATTTTGAAAACTGATTATAATAGCTCTTGTTGTGTACTTCAAACCCTGAAAAGCCCATCGACCCGCTTCTGCAGGTTTTCACGAAAAAAAAATGTTTCCTAAATTGCAGAGTGTATCGCGCACCGTACCCGACAGACTTCTTTGTTTTTAGCTGGGGTGTAAGACCGTTTGTAACAACATTTTGAAAACTGATTATAATAGCTCTTGTTGTGTACTTCAAACCCTGAAAAGCCCATCGACCCGCTTCTGCAGGTTTTCACGAAAAAAAAAATTTTCCTAAATTGCAGAGTGTATCGCGCACCGTACCCGACAGACTTCTTTCTTTTTAGCTGGGGTGTAAGACCGTTTGTAACAACATTTTGAAAACTGATTATAATAGCTCTTGTTGTGTACTTCAAACCCTGAAAAGCCCATCGACCCGCTTCTGCAGGTTTTCACGAAAAAAAAATTTTTCCTAAATTGCAGAGTGTATCGCGCACCGTACCCGACAGACTTCTTTCTTTTTAGCTGGGGTGTAAGACTGTTTGTAACAACATTTTGAAAACTGATTATAATAGCTCTTGTTGTGTACTTCAAACCCTGAAAAGCCCATCGACCCGCTTCTGCAGGTTTTCACGAAAAAAAAATGTTTCCTAAATTGCAGAGTGTATCGCGCACCGTACCCGACATACTTCTTTGTTTTTAGCTGGGGTGTAAGACCGTTTGTAACAACATTTTGAAACCTGATTATAATAGCTCTTGTTGTGTACTTCAAGCCCTGAAAAGCCCATCGACCCGCTTCTGCAGGGTTTAACGAAAAAAAATTTTTCCTAAATTGCAGAGTGTATCGCGCACCGTACCCGACAGACTTCTTTCTTTTTAGCTGGGGTGTAAGACTGTTTGTAACAACATTTTGAAAACTGATTATAATAGCTCTTGTTGTATACTTCAAACCCTGAAAAGCCCATCGACCCGCTTCTGCAGGGTTTCACGAAAAAAAAATGTTTCCTAAATTGCAGAGTGTATCGCGCACCGTACCCGACAGACTTCTTTGTTTTTAGCTGGGGTGTAAGACCGTTTGTAACAACATTTTGAAAACTGATTATAATAGCTCTTGTTGTGTACTTCAAACCCTGAAAAGCCCATCGACCCGCTTCTGCAGGTTTTCACGAAAAAAAAATTTTCCTAAATTGCAGAGTGTATCGCGCACCGTACCCGACAGACTTCTTTCTTTTTAGCTGGGGTGTAAGACTGTTTGTAACAACATTTTGAAAACTGATTATAATAGCTCTTGTTGTGTACTTCAAACCCTGAAAAGCCCATCGACCCGCTTCTGCAGGTTTTCACGAAAAAAAAATGTTTCCTAAATTGCAGAGTGTATCGCGCACCGTACCCGACAGACTTCTTTCTTTTTAGCTGGGGTGTAAGACCGTTTGTAACAACATTTTGAAAACTGATTATAATAGCTCTTGTTGTGTACTTCAAACCCTGAAAAGCCCATCGACCCGCTTCTGCAGGTTTTCACGAAAAAAAAATTTTCCTAAATTGCAGAGTGTATCGCGCACCGTACCCGACAGACTTCTTTCTTTTTAGCTGGGGTGTAAGACTAGTTTGTAACAACATTTTGAAAACTGATTATAATAGCTCTTGTTGTGTACTTCAAACCCTGAAAAGCCCATCGACCCGCTTCTGCAGGGTTTCACGAAAAAAAATGTTTCCTAAATTGCAGAGTGTATCGCGCACCGTACCCGACAGACTTCTTTCTTTTTAGCTGGGGTGTAAGACCGTTTCTAACAACATTTTGAAAACTGATTATAATAGCTCTTGTTGTGTACTTCAAACCCTGAAAAGCCCATCGACCCGCTTCTGCAGGTTTTCACGAAAAAAAAAATTTCCTAAATTGCAGAGTGTATCGCGCACCGTACCCGACAGACTTCTTTCTTTTTAGCTGGGGTGTAAGACTGTTTGTAACAACATTTTGAAAACTGATTATAATAGCTCTTGTTGTGTACTTCAAACCCTGAAAAGCTCATCGACCCGCTTCTGCAGGGTTTCACGAAAAAAAAATGTTTCCTAAATTGCAGAGTGTATCGCGCACCGTACCCGACAGACTTCTTTCTTTTTAGCTGGGGTGTAAGACCGTTTGTAACAACATTTTGAAAACTGACTATAATAGCTCTTGTTGTGTACTTCAAACCCTGAAAAGCCCATCGACCCGCTTCTGCAGGGTTTCACGAAAAAAAAATGTTTCCTAAATTGCAGAGTGTATCGCGCACCGTACCCGACAGACTTCTTTCTTTTTAGCTGGGGTGTAAGACCGTTTGTAACAACATTTTGAAAACTGATTATAATAGCTCTTGTTGTGTACTTCAAACCCTGAAAAGCTCATCGACCCGCTTCTGCAGGGTTTCACGAAAAAAAAATGTTTCCTAAATTGCAGAGTGTATCGCGCACCGTACCCGACAGACTTCTTTCTTTTTAGCTGGGGTGTAAGACTGTTTGTAACAACATTTTGAAAACTGATTATAATAGCTCTTGTTGTGTACTTCAAACCCTGAAAAGCCCATCGACCCGCTTCTGCAGGGTTTCACGAAAAAAAAATGTTTCCTAAATTGCAGAGTGTATCGCGCACCGTACCCGACAGACTTCTTTCTTTTTAGCTGGGGTGTAAGACCGTTTGTAACAACATTTTGAAAACTGATTATAATAGCTCTTGTTGTGTACTTCAAACCCTGAAAAGCCCATCGACCCGCTTCTGCAGGGTTTCACGAAAAAAAAATGTTTCCTAAATTGCAGAGTGTATCGCGCACCGTACCCGACAGACTTCTTTCTTTTTAGCTGGGGTGTAAGCCTGTTTGTAACAACATTTTGAAAACTGATTATAATAGCTCTTGTTGTGTACTTCAAACCCTGAAAAGCCCATCGACCCGCTTCTGCAGGGTTTCACGAAAAAAAAAATGTTTCCTAAATTGCAGAGTGTATCGCGCACCATACCCGACAGACTTCTTTCTTTTTAGCTGGGGTGTAAGACTGTTTGTAACAACATTTTGAAAACTGATTATAATAGCTCTTGTTGTGTACTTCAAACCCTGAAAAGCTCATCGACCCGCTTCTGCAGGGTTTCACGAAAAAAAAATGTTTCCTAAATTGCAGAGTGTATCGCGCACCGTACCCGACAGACTTCTTTCTTTTTAGCTGGGGTGTAAGACCGTTTGTAACAACATTTTGAAAACTGACTATAATAGCTCTTGCTGTGTACTTCAAACACTGAAAAGCCCATCGACCCGCTTCTGCAGGGTTTCACGAAAAAAAATGTTTCCTAAATTGCAGAGTGTATCGCGCACCGTACCCGACAGACTTCTTTCTTTTTAGCTGGGGTGTAAGACTGTTTGTAACAACATTTTGAAAACTGATTATAATAGCTCTTGTTGTGTACTTCAAACCCTGAAAAGCCCATCGACCCGCTTCTGCAGGGTTTCACGAAAAAAAAATGTTTCCTAAATTGCAGAGTGTATCGCGCACCGTACCCGACAGACTTCTTTGTTTTTAGCTGGGGTGTAAGACCGTTTCTAACAACATTTTGAAAACTGATTATAATAGCTCTTGTTGTGTACTTCAAACCCTGAAAAGCCCATCGACCCGCTTCTGCAGGTTTTCACGAAAAAAAAAATTTCCTAAATTGCAGAGTGTATCGCGCACCGTACCCGACAGACTTCTTTGTTTTTAGCTGGGGTGTAAGACCGTTTGTAACAACATTTTGAAAACTGATTATAATAGCTCTTGTTGTGTACTTCAAACCCTGAAAAGCCCATCGACGCACATCTGCAGGTTTTCTCTAAAAAAAAATGTTTCCTAAATTGCAGAGTGTATCGCGCACCGTACCCGACAGACTTCTTTCTTTTTAGCTGGGGTGTAAGACCGTTTGTAACAACATTTTGAAAACTGATTATAATAGCTCTTGTTGTGTACTTTAACGCCTGAAACGCCCATCGACGCACTTCTGCAGGTTTTCACTGCGACTGTCACCAACACAAACTTCGAATCGGGCCTCATCCATTGTAATGCACACCATTGTTGTGGTGTCCATTGTCTATGTTCTTTAGGCCATCTAAGCCGATTTTCCTTTTGCAGTGGAGTTAATAGTGGAAACGCCGTATCGCAGGCGGACAGCATTTATTCGGTCCGCTGTAATTGAGCGGCCGGTAGGATTGTGGAGCCAGCTTTTTGGAGCTAACTTCACAGGCATTTAGAGATATACAACACTGCTGTGTACTTACTAGCCTTATGAATCTTTTACTTCACAGAGTCAGTTTTAACACTAGTAATAGGTATTTATTGTTTACTTTGCCATTACGTACTTGAATATGAAACCGTTTCTTCTTCATGCGGGGCTCTTCCAGGCTCATTTCGGTTACATTAAAAATGAGTTCTAGGAAAATTCACAAAAGTCCTTTATTTTAAATTTTGTGTAGTTCTTATATCCACAGAGCTCCCCAGGACTAATTGTATATCCTTTTTCTAGTAATTACGGATTTCATACTCTTTTTAATAATACAAAACACAAAACTGAATTAATAATGAATTGATATAGGGTATGCAACCAGTTATACACACTGTGGATGAAATTGGTTCTTAAACGATTGATATGGTCCACATATGATTTGAGGGACTATTTTTTACTATATTTTGTTATTTATATTCCAATAAGATCCTAAAATTCACCAAATTTTAATGTTTTGAAAGGTTCAAAATTTTGACAATCGAATGACAGGCAACTAGTCATACATAGAAATTGCAATGTTACTGCCATCTAATCGAAGTGTCTTATGACTGGTTATGACAGACGGGCGCTATGGGAACACATTTGTTTTCTAAACTTCTTTTCAGACAAATTGTCTTTTGTGTGTGCACGCTTTTTGGCAACTCCGAGTTTTTTTTATTCAAAACATTGCTATTTTTCTAAATTTTTGTTGACAAACATGGATAACTTTGAACCGTTTTGCTACCATTGTAAAGAAGTCTTCGAACATGAGTGGGGCCCGATTAAAACGTGCGACTACACACACCAACTTCTGTGTGCGGTGACCGAGACAAAATGCTTGTGTATTTTTGAAGATAGAGAGTCTGAGCCGGTTATAGAGTACGTTTGTGGCTTAAAAGGACGCCTTGACTTCGTTAAATACCTTCATGACCATCGTCTTATTTTTGTTGCCTCAAAGTTCGAATTGATGACCCTACAGAAGGATAATATGCAGCGGGACACTTACCTTGAGACTGATCTTGACATTAAGGCCATTGAGTGGAGCTTCACTGAGGCAAGCTTCATTGTATGGAACAAAAAGGAAAATGAAATTGTTTCCTTTGGATTTGGGGACCATAGATTCACTCTCCTCTCTAGAATCAGTTTAGGTAAGTGCAACAAGGATTTTATGTTAAAGGAGAATCCTGCATATAGGCAGGGGGGGCAATCTACCTGTAAAGGTAAAATAACGGAGTGGTAGTCTACATTCAAGGGCAACACATATAAACTTTGAGTTTTTACTAAATAACATATCATTGCAGATACTCCAATACCAGTGTCAGGAGTGGTAGAAGTTGGGTCACAACATGCACAGTCTCAAGGAGCAAGCGCCATGATGCATACTAAAGATATGGCAACAAACACTCCACCAAAAATAATACACAGTAATGATGGTAAGTTCTTTCACTATATCATTGAATAATAGAAGGCTCATAGTCATTCCTCTCTTTGAGGCCTCCTTATTGTAAGGACGCCTTACTTGTCTTGTGTTTGTCTCTTGGGAGATATGTCAAATATCTTTCTTTAGGGAGAGAAGGCTTTTTCCAATCTCACGCTTACTTATTTTCTTGCACAACCATGATAATCTGCTTGCTGATGCAAATAGTAGAGAAAAGAAGACTTAAGAACTGCCTTTTTCCCTAAGGACCATTTCCCTGTCATTCTAATTTATCAAGACTATCAAAGCCTCATGATAAGGAGCCTAAAAGTACAGGAATGATGATATATTTGGCACCAAGATTCTACTTTAGTAACTCATATATAACTCTCAGCTTCAAGTTGCATGTAGCTATAGTTATTAGTTACAACTAACAAAGATACACTACAAATACAATTAGTTATAATTATCAGTCATTAGTTACAATAAGCTAAAACTGCATTTTATTAGATCTTAGAATTATGTCTCCAGGTAGTGATGACATCCCGCTCTTACCATAGAGAGGCACGATTGGATGATGCTGAACATCAAATCAAACAGACTCTTGATTACTTACAGAGGACCAGATCATCTACAACGATCCACCTTCCATCGCATGGAGTCTCTCCGGCTGGGTTGTCAACTTTTCCAGAAATAGGAAGCGCTTGATTAGAGTGTATAGTAATCATATGGAGCCTGTCTTCGAGAGCGAGCCGTCTCTGAACTTGGGACCGACTGCTTCATTCACGTTCCATGGGATGAGTCTTGCCTGCTGTGCAATTGAGCTAGGGTGTAACAAGATTGTGATTTTTGATAAATACGGTAGAATCAAGGAGGAGTTCTTTGTACCACAAACTAAGGTAAATCTTTTCTATATACAGGGTAGCCAAACAAAAATGAAAAGCAGTTTTATGCGCAAACTGGAAAAGATATCAAATATCTGTTTTTGTGGTAACCTTGATATATTACTAGTGCATATTTTAAAATTATTATTATTCAGGTTGGTTCATAAGTTCGTTCCATAGCAAACTTTGTTAAATACCCCATATTTTATTGCATATTTGAATAATAAAGACAAGAAGTTTGATATCATCTAAGATATGGTTTTGTCAATTGTTTAGAATCTGTATCCAAATATGCAACAAAAAAATGATATTCTATTTGAAAAAATACACGGTTGCTATGGCTCGAAGTTATGGATCACCCTGTATATATTGAAATAATTTTGAAATCTGCAGTAGTAACATATCAAGGTGACCATGAAAATACATTTTTGATATTTTTTCTAGTTCGTTCAATAACTTCGTTTAATTTTTGTCGGGAGACCCTATACAAATGTTATATTCCCTCCTTGCTTGCCTTCACACTGTTTCAATAATAGTCGATTCTGGCAGTATGCAGGGCCGCTCTCAGGGCTGGGCACTGATCTAGTGAACACGGCAAAACCGTGTCTTGCAAGAATACAAATTTTCCGTAATTTTCGAACGCCACGCGCACGGTGCAGGCTCTAACAGGCTTTTTCAACCCCATATCAAAAGGAAAGTCTAACAAAAAATGCATTATATGCGGTTAGGTCTACTAGGGCGGAAGTGAATGAACAAAGGTTTTTAGCCAGTAATAGCAAATGATACTGCAGAGGAAGAGGAAAGTATTGGTACGTACGAATAGGTTTTAGTTTTTGATGATCTTTGTTTTTGTATGATTGTTAAAACTGTTCAAGTTAATAAATTTGTGTTGTGTTTTTTTTTCATTGTATTTTTTGTACTTTCCATAGTGATATGGGGTAACACGTTACTATATATTTTCTTCCAATGGGATGTTTTAATTCACAACCCACCTAACGCCTCTGTAATTAAACATTCTTAATGGAGACGCTGAATTCCAGTTTTTCCTAAGTCTCCCAAATTTCTAGAGCCTGCCCTGCAATAGTTGATACTTGTATACTATCTACGTATCCTTCATATTTCTGATAGAGACATCTCCATGCTTATCTGGTCAATAAAACTACATGTATTGACAGATCTTTACTGTAGTAAAAGTTTCTATCACCACAAGTGTTATTTTCAGTACAGTGAGAATATATGATTTATCTGTCTTCCATGTGACAGTTTTTTTTTCTGTTATGTGTCGCGAGGCTCTTGAGCAACCACAGGCAGACTATACTAACTTGTCTAGAAGGGCGGAGCTTGGGTCTTGGAAATTTAGTGCTGCATAAGGGCCCATTATGTCTATTTTTTAATGTATCAGGTATGCCACTCTGTCCCACTGTTGAAATAACATAGCATACAGGAATGTGATAATGAAAGGAAAAAACAAACACACTGTCAGCTGGAGACAGATAAATCAAATATTGTCATTGTACTGAAGCAGATCACCTTTGTGATTAAAACGTTTACTTATGTAAAGTTCTGTCAATACATTGAACAGACAAGCATTGGGGACTATCGACATGTAAACCACAGGATGAGTTTTAGATGTTGCAATAAAGCCATACATGGTTGGCTAGACGAACGAAATCAGGCTTCCTATAATTTCTTCAACATAAGAATAACTTTAGCATCTATGGAAGTGCTGGAGGAAAAAAAATATTTATTTTATTTATAGTCTTGATATTTAGCTGCAATCGTCTGTTTTAAGTTGCAATTATTTAGTTATAATTGTCAGTTGCAAGTGACAACTATAATTGCAAGTTACAAATGTCAATTAGCATTAATTGTTTATAATCGATTTTAAGCGATATAAAAATCATAACTGGTTGTGTTTGGTTTTGACTTTTGTAACAGCTGTCAAATGATGACGTCATGAAAGTGAAAAGGACCACAAAACAGATGCGTGTAGCAATCCTAAATCAAATATAAGCGTCTGTGCTATTTACCGCGGTTATAAAGTGGTGTAAGATGACACACGAGGTGATGACGTCAGTTACTCGAATCGCTTGAACGCGTTGGTTTTAGTTGCGGTTTTGTTGCAAGTTGTTTATTTTAGAAAAGTCCGTATATAATTTCTGATTATTTTTATTATTACTTAATAATTTATGTTTATTTATTTATTTAAACTCTTACAAACACGTTTAAATGTAGTTACATGTAGGAGTGCTTACTGGCTAGCAGAGAAACAGAGAATACACAAAAACTCATAACTAAAAACTGACAACAAAGAAAAACTATAAAAATTATGCAACAAATAAAATGAGATCAGGATGTTTTATCTAAATTTAAAATCAGTCTTAATTTGTCTCGCAGTACTCGAAAGGAGATCCACATCACAATTTTGTATATAACTATAACACTCATATATCATTCTATTGAGAGAAGAACAACTTACAGGTGAACAATGAAAGAGTTTGTTGTCTCTTATTCTCTAGTTGATTCTAGGAACAGCAAAGAATATATTATTTATTAGGGAACACTTCTTATATTTTGAATTATTAATTATGTACTAAATGAACAAGATATCATTCAAACCACGCCTAACGCTCAACCGCAGAATTTTTAATTCTGTTAGCATACTATTATAAGAGATCATGTATGGATAAGCATTTTGTGCCCTTAAGTACAGATATCTTAAAAATCTTTTTTGTACTCTTTCGATCATATCTACATGCACCATTGTTTTGGGAGGCATACTACAAAACAGGTCGGACCAGTGAGTTGTAAAAAATTATTATATACTTAGCTTCCTTAAAGAGCTCTGTATTCCTTATCACAAAACCCAGGATCCTATATGCTTTGTTTACAATAGTTTCATAATGCTGATTAAATTTTAGGTTAGTCTGAAAGCAGACCCCAAGATCCTTACATTCACTTTTCTTACTTAGCAATAAGTTATCAATTTTGTAATTAAAATCTATGAATTTTGCTTTTCGTGCAAAAGTTAAACTATGACATTTGGCAATATTCAACAACATTTTATTCTCCTTGAATCACTGGGACACTGAACTTAAATAAATTTGCATCTCGATACAGTCTTGAAGGCAAGTTATATGCTTGTATATTTTAAAATCATCAGCAAATATGAGACATTTGGCATATTTTACACAGTTTGGCAAATCGTTCAGAAAAATTATGAATAATAGAGGCCCAAGATTACTGCTCTGGGGCACCCCAGATGTTATATTCATCTTTGGTAAATGTTTACCAACTCTAATCTGCTGCGGCCCTAAGGTTAGGTATGATGCCATAAGCTCACATGCACTTTTTGAGAACCCAGATTTACCCAACTTGTTCACCAACAGACCATGATCAACCCGATCAAAGGCTTTTGCACAATCTGTCAAAACAACATCCAACTGTTCTTTGTTGTCAATTGGTGCTTTTTCGTCTACAACAGTGATATAGAAAGTTTAAAAAAGAAAACTTTCATAATATTAATGGGAGAAATGTTTATTTTAGAAGATATTGTTCAGGTGTTGAATCACTTGAGAAAAGCTCTCTTATTTTTAAAGAAGTTTGCCGTGAAAAACAAATATATGACGGTCAAAATTTTAATGGTGGAACCATGGCGTTGTAGCAATGATAACTTTCAATTCTTTAAACTTTTCCGCATGTCAAAGAAAACATTTATTGATTTAGCAGAAATGATAGGAAAAGGCGATGAAAAAGATATTAGCAAAACCGTATACAGGTTGACACTATCCAGTGAGTATATAGTCATATTTTAATCTTCTTGCGGTATATGGCTACAAAGGATACTTTGTTAAGATTTAACGGGTCCCCAAAAAGAGTAGTGAGTATATTTATGCTAAAACTAAAATCAGCCTGTATCATGTTTCCCAAAAATGAAGCTGAAGTACAACAAAAATATCCATTACCCGCCAAAATTACAACTTGTCACATTTCAAATAATAAATGACCTAAAATTGTCGGTTATAAGTAACAACCAGCTGTCAATTAGCTATAATTAGTTGGCAGTTAGCTGTAGTTGTCAATTACAGGTTGTAGTTAACTATAATTTGTCAGTTGTACCATCTAATATTTTAATAATTATAGCTAATTGCACCATGTAACTGACAAAGCTAATTGTCATTTATAACTTGTACATGAACCAATTGACACATTTAACTGGCAATTATGACTAATTGCATAACTGACATAATATATATATATATATATATATATATATAGGTGAAAAATTAAAGCTTCCGCTTTTTGTTGGGTACTTCGACAAGATTTAAGCAAAGAGGACTCTTTATACTTTTTTAATTCTCTCTAGCTTTCAATGGACTTTGCCATCATCATCAGGAGCTGCAATTACAATGATAACAGTAGCAACAAAGGTGTAAAATGAATTTAAATTGACTCAACTTACAGTAGTATGTGAGAATGTTGCTAATTGTTGTTTACGCATATGATGAGGGAAACGTCCAGTAACATGGTGAGAGCTGAATAGGTTGCACAATAGTCAAAATTTATACAAAACATGACAAGAACACGTTAAAACAGATTAAAAATTATTTTAAAAATTAGAACATTACATCGTGAAACCACCTGATGATTGCACAAATTAGTGGTCATGGAATGATGAATTGATGAGAGAATTAAAAAAGTATAAAGAGTCCTCTTTGCTTAAATCTTGTCGAAGTACCCAACAAAAAGCGGAAGCTTTAATTTTTCACCTAACTGGTCTAGACGACAATGACCACGTCTCAAGTTATATATATATATATATATATATATATATACTTTTTTCGCGATGTCTTTTCCACGCTTTTTTTGCATCGTATTGAACATTTTTAGGGCATAATAAAAAAAGTGCGATTTCATCCGGAACCAACTATGCTGGCAGTAGTCAGTGAAGATGCACCAGAAAGAGAACAGTACATTACCCTGTACTTTAAGAGCAACAACAGGTGGTACCTGAAGCAAGAATTGTTCTACCCCAATGGAATCAAGATTTACGATGTATTCTGGCAAAGTGATGTATTTAATGTTTCGAAACTAATAGTCGTTACGGATAAGTATGTAGAATGGCACACTTTCAGAGTCGTGATACACCGATCGCCACATGACGCTACTATGGTAGTTGTAGATGGCAGGTATATAGAATTCAACAAGTTTGATGTTTCCATTAAGCCCCCACCATGTTTTTATAACCGTTTGGAGCACATCAGACCGATAAACCAGATCCACTTCAACCCCATTTTGAAGCAGTGTCTCGTAATAGACTCGCATTGCCAGACACAAGTTTTCGACTATTCCGGTAGGTTTGTTATCCCAGCGTATCTATCTATAAATCCAAGTCTTACATCTCTTGCGAACGTAGCTGCTGTCCACTGGATTGACGTGTGTGCAGTTGAAATCATCATTGAAGCCAACATCGAGTCCAAAATCACAAACGAAAATAACGGATTCGAACAGACTTACATCATTAAGAATTGTAACGCTGGAAAACGCGGATTTCCATACCGAATTTCTGATAGTCTCGCGCCGAAACATACAGAATTGCTAGCTCGGAATGTTATACGTAAAGACGATTACGGCATGCTAACAGCGTTTGGGGTTATCACCTACCAGTTTTCGCACACTTCTACGAGAGAGTTATTTGTCGAAGGGAAGTTAATTTGCAAAGATGTAACATCTTACTGTATATACAAGAAGTATCTATTCTTTACTCATATGACTTCGAACATGTACACCATTCGACTAACGAATGCGGCGACTTTTGAACATGAGCTCAACTTGGAGAGGTGCTATAAAAGACCGATAGCACAAGGCCTGCGAATTCTAACAGTAACAGATCGCTTAATCCCGTTAGTTGTGCTAACCCATCCTAGAGGCAATTTGGAGTCTATAGCAAGTGCTATGGTGGCAATAGACCTTGTTGACGAAATGCTGAAAGCCCATCAATGGGGTGAAGCTTTGCAATTGATGAGAGATCAAAGAATCAATTGGAATGTCCTCATAGAACTGAATCCAGACCGATTCCAAGTTTGTATTCAAGAATTTCTGAACGCTGTTGGTACAGAAAGCTTTTTAATATCGATTGTGCAAGATTTCGATCCGTACAGAGTCACTTTGAATACAACTTATAAAAATCTTCTACAGAGTAAAGTTGAGGTGACCTCCGAAGAAAAAATTAAAATTATAGAAGATATTTTGAGACATCTCATATTCAGCAATCCTGTCGCTAATTTTTTCGCTATCGTTGCCATACAATTGAAACATATATCATTACTGTCAGCTGTGAAATCTGTCCAGAGATTATACTATAGGAATTATAGAAAGTTCTCAGAAATGTGCCGTCGAGCTATTACAAGCATGCTAGATACAGCAGATGTAAAAGATATCATAGACGTAGCGTACAATCTTTACGATTCAGAATTCGTGCTGTTCGTTTACCAATGCACCAATGAAGACCCTAAAGTTTACGAGAGGGAGGTACGGGATTTGGAACAATATATGGATGACGTTTCCATTCTACGGTTTCATATGTGTATAAAAGGTCACAACCCAAAAGGCGCAATAAAGTACATGTTACGGTATGACGGATTTGATGAAGCGCTTGTTGAAAAATTCATATTTCATAACGACCTGCAGAAGGAAGCATACAAAACCGTTGACCCGTGCCATCGGAACTACTTTCTCATTATCAGACTCTATGCGCAAAGCCTTTCAAGAAAGCGCAAGTTTCAAGAGGCAGCTGTCGTCTACATGAATGCTGGACTATATAAAGAGGCGATAGAAGAATGTAGACTTGGTTTAGACTGGAGAGAGGTCATAAGGCTCATGACTGTGTTGAATTATGATGAATCTGTCAAGCGAGATGTATTGGGGAAGATTGCGGATGACCTGATAAAAGAGAAAAGGGTAGAGGAAGCTGTGATAGTGTTGGAACACCATAAGAAAGATTATAAGAAGACGATCAAGACTTTGATGGAGTTCAAGTCCTTCAGGCACGCCATATGCCTAGCAGTATCGCTGGGTCTTGATTTAGAACTACGTAAGTAATTTTTGTTTTTATATTGATATAAAGTTCCTATACATGGTGTCCGATTCAATTCTCCCCACCAGACAAAAATGTTCGACAGTACAGTTGTGAGGTTTATGGGGATCACTCAAGGGTGATCTTGTCGACGATCCTCAAGGTCAAGTCAAATTCAAAAAAAAAATATCTCATTTCTATACTGGAATGGAAAAAGTAGGGAATTTTACATTCAAATGACCTCAAACAACATTTAAGCTTGACTTAAAGGTTACATTCGCTATTTGCATTTTCAGTATGGAAATTTTGACTTGACCTGAAAGACATGGTCAAGGTCACATTTTGGTGATACCCACAAATCTCATAACTGTGCTGTCGAATATTTTGTTAGAGCAAATTGGTTTCGATGTCATGGTTTGACCATGAAATGACCTTGGAGGCAATGGTCAAGTTCGTGTCGTGGCCAAGGTGAGCTTCAGATGTAATATTTGCACCTATTTTCAATTCCGATGTGAAAATTTAAAAATATTCACTTAACGTTAAAATGACCTCAAAGGTCATTGTCAACATCACCATCATTTTGCTCATCGAAATGCACAGTTTTTGAAATATCTAGGTGGGGAGATTGAAATGAGACAACGTGTTTTACAAGCAATTTAAAATTGCTCATTACCTGACTTACGGTTCTTTCAATCAGGATTTGCTTAGGCCTCATAGGACCCCTTGTATACTATTTCTATTTCAAACTGACTCAGCTAAAAACTCAAGTTGGTTGTATATACAGGATGTTCATATGAAAACTTTCCATCACAGATTTATTGAAAACCACTGATTAGAAGAAAAAAACGCCGAGACACGTCAAAAGATTTGTCAAGGGGGACATCTTTTTAACCAAAAACTACTTCATCCACTTTTGACCTCGCCCCCCAGGGTCATTCACTTGAAATTTTAAATGGCAAGGGGTATCGAGTAAAAGCTTGTTTGAAAGGTCTCTCGAAGTCGAAAAATATTTAGCTCAATTTGTTCAGATAAAAAACAAAAACACACGAAAATATCACTTTTTATTTCAATAAGTGTTTAAACTACTGCCAAATCTACAATTTGATCATAATTTAAAACGGAAACTACCAACATAAACAGCAATTCGGAAGAATAGACGTGGCAACAACCAAATAACAACCTTAATTTTTTCCGCATTTTTTTCATCAACGAATCGACTGATTTAAAAAAATAAAATGTCGAAATAAAGGACTGCGAAAGACCTTTCAAACAAGCTATTACTCGATAACCCTTATCATTTAAAATTTTTAAGTGAATGACCCTGGGGGGCCGAGGGTGAAAGGGGATGAAATAGTTTTTGGTTAAAAATTTGTTACCCTTGACAAATCTTTAAACGTGTCTCGGCGTATTTTCTTTTAATCAGTGGTTTGCGATAAATCCGTGGTCGGAAGTTTTCAAATGAATACCCTGTATTACACGGAACTCTGACATGTTGATAGTATTTAATACTCCAGTAATAATTTAGTTTGCATGTGTACTATCGTTAGATGGTAGAATGTCCTCCAACTTCCTTTGCCTCAAACAGTCTCATGTAAAGTTTTTTTTTAAACGGCTGGACTAACAGATTCAGCGTAAGAGAGAATGATTCAATTGTTCTCTGTACTCATAAGTAGTGCACAAGTGCATAGCTGTCATGTGTCTAATAAAAAAATTATCATTTTTTCAGCTACTATTGCCGACGGCTTGAACAAATATCTAGGCGAATTAAAGGAAAAGCTGTTGTCGTTCAAGGAACAGTTTGAACGCTACAGAAGGCGTCTGAAGATCGCACGAAAGGAACAGACGAACAGGTTCGAGCTAGACGCATTGGGCATATACAATCAAAATACAGAAGAAGAACTCTCTGACATTGCTAGCACTAGTTCCTCCATGCCATCGACTAGCTCTGGACGAACTAGTTCGTAAGTATCTTAAAAAAACATGCAAAAATAACTATAACCACCGATTAACGTTTTCTCCAAGAAATGCCCAACTCTACTCGCTGTGTGCGCGATGACAGCACCGCTTAGTGACCATAATTACTCGGGACCTGTCAGTTCTTGTCAATCAAACATTTAGATAATAATGTTTAGCTCGTTTTTCATGGAAATTAAATAAAACCAAATGAAAGTACTTGCACGGATCTTAAATCAAGTAATTTGCTTACTTGAACAAAAAATGGATGTTATAATACGTACGGGATTTGAATCCATAAAACTTAAACTCCCAACCTCAAACTGTGCAAATAAAAAAAATTGTAGACCTTATGAAATTATATAGTTAACTTCTGTCAGCCTATATTATTTTAATATTCATGTTGTTGTAATTTTTGCACACGATATATTAAAAACAATATATTTGCTTACTTTTCGCTTTTTACAGTAGCTATTCATTTATTTCTTAGCACTAATTTTCATGTTGCTGTAGGAAACATATGAAATTTGCACATTTTTGAGCAAAACACTCGTGAAAAACACGTTTTAGAGGTTGGGGTCCTAGGGGCGACCTACCAGTCTGAAAATTTGGCTAAGGTGATTTGATCAAATATACCTTAATTTGGATTGATACCGATTTGGATACCTTGGAAACGTAGTAGTATAGCCTTTAGGGTGGAATTGTATGAAATATGATAATTTGATACATGTCAATCCTGAGTTATTTCACATCTCACATAGCGAATACTGTATATGGACGTTCACATACAATTTCGATCATCGCAATGTTGCTTCTAAGTAGGATCGCGAAAATGCACTTAGAGGTAATAAAAACAGGCTCCATTTAAATTACATGAACTTTCCACGCAATGATCATCCCTCAGCTCCCATCGTAATTGTTCCACGTATTCTCAGACTTTTTCATTGATGGAAAAAAACTGTTACCTGCGGCAACAGCCCGAGATGTGGCAACACTGACTCCTGAAGATTGTCGTCAGGGCACCTTTTAGAACATATTAATCGACTTAACACTTGAATGCCGGCTCTGAATAACCGTATTTTTTCCAGCACCACTATGACAGCGAAGAGCAGGCGTAAACATGAAAGACGAAAAATCGACCTAAAGGAAGGAGGAAAATATGAAGACATAGCATTGATAAGAGCGCTTCACATCCTTTACACCGAAACCTTTTTATTTGGCAACGACGTACGAGAAGTGTGTCTCATCACCGTCCATATTAACCAGAACGACGTCTTCTTTCTTCATGATCGTTTAAACGAGCTTCAAAAAGACATGAAACGTGCAGTTAATGAAATCTGGCCTGAAGTCTTCATCAAGAATCAGCTGTCTACCGATGCCGAAATTATGGCTATTATCCACAATAGAGAGGAGTTGGACCCCCGATATAGAGAACCCCCGCTAGAGGTCATGAAACTTGAGTGGCAGTTGGACATGTTTTGTTAACAAGATGATATCTGGAATTTAGAGTGATTTACGAAATTTTTTGTAAATATTGTTGTTATTTTGGTGCACACATGATCAAAATTCTAAATGTGTAATTTTAAATATTTAGGCATGCATTTATGTAAATATTCACTCAAAATCAAAATTATAAGTGTTTGACAAATTTTGTGTTTTATTTGCTTAGTTTTAGAAAGGATAATCCGTCATAAAACCATAACCTTTATGGCCTCCTTGATTTTCATAGTTTTTCCAGTCCTTCAGAAAGGCGCTCTATTTTGAGGTTATGTTACAAATATCTATTTGCATCAAATTGTTCATGTTTTTGATTTTTATCATCTGTTTTATCAGACGGAAAATTCCTACAATTCCTAAAGAAAACAGCCTTACAATGAGAGCGCTGCGCTGACACGGAACAATAGAAATCTAGAAATACTACAGCCTTTCTGAAGGAGAGAAAATATTATGAAAATCAAGGAGGCCATAAAGGCGTCCTACAATTGTAGGAGCGACTGATGATATGGCCCTTAGGCTACATTGGGTTCCTTGTATGTCCCCAAGGGTTACCCAGGGCTCGATCATCAGTCACTTCGAGCTATTGATGAATGTGGTGATAAGACACTGTGGAGTAATAAATTCATTCGTAATTACAACAAAGTCGGAAGCTCATGTTCACAATAAACATAATTGCTAAAAGGGCAAACGAACAGCAAAACTAATACAAGTGCTGACCCTGTTGAGAAAAATAATAACTTGGTGTTAAAATATACTGGCCCCCGGAAGTCAACGTCAAGCCGGAACCGGGGTATAGGCCAAGTCATAATAGATTTTGCGATTTTATATTATAATTAAAGGGACAAAAATATAGTATTTTCGAATGTTAATATTTTGGGACGTCGCCATTGAACTTAAAAATCTAAAATAGTTACAGCTAATATGCCCCCTACTACGATAAAAATAATAATAATAATTGAGAAATTTAAAAAAAGCAATTTTTTGATGTATCTCGATTAAGTAGCGATTATATGACTTTTCATTGGGATGTTATGAATATAATTTTCTTATCCATTTTCAGATAAATGCACCAATCCCGAATCGCAAATAACTGTTACACTTCAAGGCTACTTATTTATGGTCTAGTACCTTTATACCCAACTGGCTCAATAATGCTTACTAGTCAGATAAATTAACCTATGTAATTATCGAGAAACTTACCCTTTTCACAAAAAAACACCCAAAAAATGTACCACTTGAAGCACACAGGAAGCACGCTATCATAGTGAAACTCACAGGCAAAATGGATGCCGGCAAACGGGTCGGCTTGCCATTATGCCATTGGTCGCTCGGGGTCACGCGCACATGCGCCTTGGCCGAAAATATTTAATGAATATTTTCTAAATAATGGAGTTTTAATATTTTCCATTAATTGAAAAGTAAATATTTAATGAATATTATGAAATATATATTGTATTTAAAATATTTAAAAGATATCCAATACATATTTAATAAAAAGTTCTACTTCACCCACTTAAAGCTATTTTCAACCGAATTCTCAATCAACTTTTCCTGAAGTGTGGAAGATTGCCAAGGTATGCCCTATAGACAAGTCGCAACAGTTAAATGTTATAAGCAACTACAGACCAGTTCCTATTCTCTGCATTCCAGCGAAACTCTTAGAAATTATTTTACATGACCGTCTTTCTGAAAGTGCAAAAAATTACATTTCAGTTTACCAGCACGCTGTTGTACGTTCTAGATCAACTATTAGCAACCTTGCAATCTTCGACCAATATTTGTGCGAAACAATACGAGTAGATCAACGGGGTCAGGTAGATACTGTCTATGTTGACTTTTCTAAGGCATTTGATAAAATCAGTCGCAGTGTTTTGCTCCACAAACTTTTTTCTTTAGGCCTTCATAGTTGTCTAAAATCTTACCTGCATCAGAAACGGCAATATGTTCACATTAATCCAACCACATCTGGTTACTATGTTTCTACTAGTGGAGTACCACAGGGGTCCAATTTGGGACCTCTATTATTTTTGTTATATATTAATGACCTATGCACGTCACTGGAATGCAATAGATGATTAATGTTTGCGGAAGATCTAGAAATGTATGCGTCCATTGCACGTCTAGAAGACTGTGCCGCCCTGCAATCGCAGATCGATGTTTTACATGACTGGTGTCTTAGAAATCATCTGTATTTAAATACGAGTATCTCCAAATGCAGAATAGTAACCTGTAGCCGCCGCGACGTTCCACGATACTATATGTTCCACAAGGTACAATTTTGGGTCCTCTGTTATTCAATATTTATTTAAACGATATATTCAAAATTAACAGTACTGGTAAAATAGTCAGTTTTGCAGACGATACTGCTATACTCTATAAAGGTAAGGATTGGAACGACTTAAAAGATATTATCCAAAATGACTTTTGCAAAATTATTCAGTGGTTTAATAACCGAAAATTAACAATTAACTTTACTAAAACTCATTTTTTACCATTTTCATCACTATCTAATCATCTACCAAAATATAACCACCTTCGGTTTAAGGTAAATGATAAAAATCAATATAGTTAATGATACAAAATATTTAGGAATTTATCTAGACCCCACTTGAGATGGGATGTACATATTTCTCACATACTAAAGAAAATTAGATTCATAGCATATAAAATAAAATTT